GAAAGAACTTCAATTCTCTGGAGGCACGAAAAACACTTGTAGAAATTCATTATCCAGACAAAAATCTAAGTTCTGGGAGGATAGAATCATGAAGCTGCGTCAAAGATTTTGAAATTGGTACGACATGGCACACAAGTTTTGTTTTTTTTTTTAATCATTTCACCGCAGGATGCATGGGTTTACATAGAATGAAAGAGAAGACTTTAGCGAGAAGAAATGAGAAAACGGTTCAATAAAGGGATAGAATTCAGGAAAAAGATAGATGGCGATTGGGGTCGCATTTAAATTTTCGAAGATTTTAGGGAAGCAAGAAATCAAGAGAGTTTCACGGGTGAGAAGTGTGAGAAAAACAGAATAGAAGTGTCGGTTGCTTCTCGCTAGTGCAACAGTAAAACAGTGAGACCTAAATGCCAATCTAGTAGCAAGTTCATGTAGTCGAGGAACTAGGGGAAAAATCTCATCAGAAAAGTTGCTATGAAAATATTTGTTGAAAAGACAAAAGATAAACTGAAATAAATCTATATATTCATAAATAGATGCAAATATTGTCCTTGAAAATCATTTAAAAAAAAAACAAAAAAAAAAACGATTCGTACTTTTGTTCCTACCACATCTTTGTGTGTGTGTGTGTGTGTGTGTGTGTGTGTGTAGATACGTTATTTGAAAAACCAAAATAATACAAAACAAAAACACTGATAACAGATTATGGAAGACAGAAGTATTTAGATATTAGATAATTTATATCTAAACTTTCAGTGGAAAGCAGGAAATTTCACGAAATTTATAAAATATAAAGCAAAAAAAATATTTGAAAATTTTTTTTTTTTTAAAGAACAAAAGAAGCTTGTATTAAAGTTAATTTCCCACCAGCGCAACGTAGCTTCTCTGTGCCTTTCCTACAAATTCATGGCTAGCAGTATAGATGAACTTTCCTCTATGGTCGCTAGACATTATGAATTGGCACCTCCACAGATTCGCTAAAAAATGAGCATACCATGATGAAAAAATACCTCAAATGTAATAAAAACAAAGTTTTATGTTATTATTAAGAGGGACGACCAAATGATTATTAAATTATATTTTTTATCGTTTTTTTTTTTTTTTTTAACATTCGATTTTTTAAAAAAATCGTTTTCCATGTGTAGGGACATTTTAGTGTCTTTTTTTTTTTTTTGCGGCGAAGAAAAAAACAAAACAAAAAAACAACACATATTTGGCTTGGTTTGTTTTACAGCATATCAACCTTTAATGCCGACAAAATTTTTATGGCTGGTAATGTTTTTTTTTCCTTCAATAATCTATTGCTGGTAATGTTTTTTTTTTTTTTCCTTCAATAATCTATTGCTGGTAATGTTTTGTTTTTTTTTTTAATCCTTCTGGTAATCTATTGTTTTTTTTGGTAATCTTTTGTTTTGTTTTTTTTCCTTCAATAATCTATTGCTGGTAATGTTTTGTTTTTTTTTTTTCCTTCAATAATCTATTGCTGGTAATGTTTTGTTTTTTTTTTTTCCTTCAATAATCTATTGCTGGTAATGTTTTGTTTTTTTTTTTCCTTCAATAATCTATTGCTGGTAATGTTTTGTTTTTTTTTTTTCCTTCAATAATCTATTGCTGGTAATGTTTTTTTTTTTTTTTTTTCAATAATCTATTGCTGGTAATGTTTTTTTTTTTTTCTTCAATAATCTATTGCTGGTAATGTTTTTTTTTTTTCTTCAATAATCTATTGCTGGTAATGTTTTTTTTTTTTTTCAATAATCTATTGCTGGTAATCTATTGCTGGTAATGTTTTGTTTTTTTTTTTTCAATAATAATCTATTGCTGGTAATGTTTTGTTTTTTTTTTTTCTTCAATAATCTATTGCTGGTAATGTTTTGTTTTTTTTTTTTCCTTCAATAATCTATTGCTGGTAATGTTTTGTTTTTTTTTTCCTTCAATAATCTATTGCTGGTAATGTTTTGTTTTTTTTTTCCTTCAATAATCTATTGCTGGTAATGTTTTTTTTTTTTTTTGCTGGTAATGTTTTTTTTTTTCCTTCAATAATCTATTGCTGGTAATGTTTTGTTTTTTTTTTTTTTCAATAATCTATTGCTGGTAATGTTTTTTTTTCCTTCAATAATCTATTGCTGGTAATGTTTTTTTTCTATTGTTTTTTTTTTTTTTTTTTTCCTTCAATAATCTATTGCTGGTAATGTTTTGTTTTGTTTTTTTTCCTTCAATAATCTATTGCTGGTAATGTTTTGTTTTGTTTTTAATCTATTGCTGGTAATGTTTTGTTTTTTTTTCCTTCAATAATTTATTTTGGTAATGTTTTTTTTTTTTCTTCAATAATCTATTGCTGGTAATGTTTTGTTTTTTTTTTTTCCTTCAATAATCTATTGCTGGTAATGTTTTGTTTTTTTTTTTTCCTTCAATAATCTATTGCTGGTAATGTTTTTTTTTTTTTTTTCAATAATCTATTGCTGGTAATGTTTTGTTTTGTTTTTTTCCTTCAATAATCTATTGCTGGTAATGTTTTGTTTTGTTTTTTTCCTTCAATAATCTATTGCTGGTAATGTTTTGTTTTGTTTTTTTCCTTCAATAATCTATTGCTGGTAATGTTTTGTTTTGTTTTTTTCCTTCAATAATCTATTGCTGGTAATGTTTTGTTTTGTTTTTTCCTTCAATAATCTATTGCTGGTAATGTTTTTTTCCTTCAATAATCTATTGCTGGTAATGTTTTGTTTTGTTTTTTTCCTTCAATAATCTATTGCTGGTAATGTTTTTTTCCTTCAATAATCTATTGCTGGTAATGTTTTGTTTTTTTTTTTCCTTCAATAATCTATTGCTGGTAATGTTTTGTTTTGTTTTTTCCTTCAATAATCTATTGCTGGTAATGTTTTGTTTTGTTTTTTCCTTCAATAATCTATTGCTGGTAATGTTTTGTTTTTTTTTTTCCTTCAATAATCTATTGCTGGTAATGTTTTTTTCCTTCAATAATCTATTGCTGGTAATGTTTTTTTTTTTTTTTTCCTTCAATAATCTATTGCTGGTAATGTTTTGTTTTGTTTTTTTCCTTCAATAATCTATTATTACTTTTAATAATACTGGTAATACTTTTTCTTCAAAATATCTATTTCTAGTAATATTTTTTTTCCTTCAAAATCTATTGCTGGTAATAATTTTTCTTCAAAAATTTATTGCTGATATTAAAACCTATTTTTACACTTTCATAGTGTTTTGACTCCAGTCTGGGGTTAACTATTTGCCTATAGTTGGGACCCTAACAGGTGCTACCACCCCGAGTCAAGGTGGACCTGGAAACACTAGCAATTAAGAGGTGGTCACGCTCCTCAAACACATATTTGGAAAAACTTGCAAAAATCAAATAATTGTCGGATTTTAATGAAACTTTCAGGACTTATGAAATTATTTTAGAAAAGATTTTTTTTTTTTTTAGAAATTTTTTTTTAGAAAAAACACTTTTCAACATCTTTTATTCCCTCACTTATTTAATTTATGAAATTGAGAAATTAATTTTTGTACCGCTTAATGTTATACGCAAAACTCTTTGGAGAATTAAAATCATGAATTTCTTTTTGTAAAACAGGACCCTCAGTTACCGAAAATCTCCCCTTAAATCGTAAAGTAATGAATTTTCATAATCCGGCTTATTCTTTTTATACTATATTTTCCTTTCCTTAAGACAAGAAAAATTTACCTTTTCACTCAAATGAAACGGTTGACGGCTTCTTTCATCTCAATTGTCATCTTTACAAACATCTTCTCGGACCATTAACGAGTAAAACTTAGGAATTGCGTATATTTTGGGTTAACTGCAGGTCAAGAGGGAATAACGAAAGGTCATCATATAATAAAATTTATCTCACTAAAAGTTTCTTGTTGGTCATTCAATGAAAGATATTTTAAATATATATATATATATATATATATATTATATATATATATATTTTACATACATTTAGAACACTTTCAATACCCCCCCGCAACTCGTTACAAATGTTGATTGACAATATCTACTATCATCACCTCAGGGAATTTTGATAGGTTTCCATCACTTTCGCTTATTTTTCTAGCCGACAATACATCCTGTAGTCATAATTTTCTTTTTTCAACAACACATTGCCTGCAATCATATTGTAGGTAATATTTTTTGGTTTATTTTGTTTTACGGCATATCAACAACTCAATGGGTTACTTAATGCCGAGAAGATTTTTATTGGTGGTAATATTTTTTTCCAAAAATATATTGCTGGTAAGAATTTTTTTAAAAAGTATTTCTGATATTAAAACCTATTTTTACACTTTCATAGTGTTTTTGACTACAGTCTGGGGGTTGACCATAACAGGTGCTACCAGGTTAGGGTGGACCTGGGAACACCAGCAATTAAGCGGTGGTTCCACACTCCTCAAAGCCTCCTGATCTGAGGCTTTGCTGTTGGACGTAGTTTACCGTCTTACCCAGGAAAGCGTAGGTAATAATAATGGCTTTCGATTGGATCAAAGACTAAATACATTTTTTTTACGTTTTCCATTAGAAAAATTTACACGTAAAGTCGGGTAACTTTGATAATATATTGATTTATATTTGAATCAATAAGCAACTTAGCTTATGTTTAAGTCTCACAGCATTTTAATATGTCCTGACCATATGCTATGTGGAACCTAAGTCAGTTAATATTTAACAAAAATTTTGGATAGCTCGAAAACCTGTTGTTCGTTGGTTGTTTTTGTTTAGCGGTATTTCAACACCTTTATGGGTTATTTGATGCCAAAATCAAATATTTTGTACGCAATTTTAGTTTATCTTTAGAAAATAATGGTTTTAATGATGTCTTACTAATTAACCTATAACTGGGAAGAAGATGAAAGCTGAATTCATACCTTTCCCAAAGGTATTTGCACGTAAGTGGATATAACGAACACAACTGGAATTGGAACTCGGCTCTCCAAATAAACAATCCCGAGTCAGTATCCATTACACGGCCCGCACATCCAAGCTTACACCTGGTATTCCCAAGCGGCCACTCATCTCGGTACTGACCAGACTCGACGTTGCTTAACTTCGGCTATCATACAAGAACCGGTGGTTCAACGTAATGCGGCCGTAAACTTATTCTTTTAGTGTAAGAAAAAAAGCATAAGCTTTTGGAAAAAAAAAAAAAAAAAAAAAAAGATTTGCCTACGTGTGTGTGTGTGTGTTTTTTTTTTCTAAAAATAAAGTTTTTTTTTTTAAATTCATTAATGTTTTTGACAATGTTGTCTGCAAAGTTGTCCAATTTTATTTGGATGTGATTTTACTTTCGAATTCGACTGATTTTTTTTTAATATTAACCTGGATATTATCCCTTTTCCTCTTGAAGACGGCTACTGCACATGTACGCCATTGAATACAGTTTTAAGTTATACAAAAGTGACGAAAAAAAACTGAGAAAGATGCTAGTAATATTTTTACTTAGTAAAACAAATGTTTGTGCTGTTAAGCTTTATTTTATATTTACAGGATTCAAACAACTGTTTTTTTTTTAGGTTATGGAGAAACGATGTCAGACGAAGTAGCTGGAAATATCAGCAAAGAAAAGATTTTAACAAACATGGCGACAGAAAACAAAATTCTAAACAATATTACATGTGAAACCCTGTTGCAATCTTTGTCAGAAAAAGAACAATAAACAATTTTTCTCACTTACCAAATACAAAGGGTGTTACAAGTTTTTCTTCTTCAAACATCAACGTCCGGTGTCTATTTGCTTTCGTGTGCTTTGCGTTTCGAGACGCTGTAACTTTAGAGTACACCACTTCCGTTAGCTATTTCCGGAAGCTATCCGTATTTGCCCAGATTTACACGACTTCCTCATCAAAAAGAAACACCATTTGCTGCATTCTTCTTTTGAAAAATAAATTGTCATTTTGTGATACATTTAGTTGTGAGAAAAGACGAACAGATAAAAAAAAAATAAAATAAAATAAAAGCATTGATTTCCATATAGTATCAAATTTCTTGTATCGGTATTTTAATACATTTATAGACCTAATAATCAAGTTAATACTAATTAGTTGACCAGGTGGGGAAGAGGGTTAGCGTCAAATATTAAATGATCTAGCTACAGGGAGTTGTCTCCCTAAGTAGTACATCCACTTACACTAGGATTAATCCTTAGTACCTGTGGATATCGCATAAGAGAAATGCTTAACTAATTTTTCCCCCTGCACCCTTCCATTTTAAACTCGACTATTCCGTTCGAGTGGGTATATAGTTAAATATTAATTTTGGATTATCTACACAGAATCTCGTCTCAAGGAATACCAAATTCGCATTGACTAGGCTACGATCTAATGCAGACTTAGAAATGGAAACATGCCTAGCAAAAACCAAATACTAAATGAAGGCGTACGCCCACTATAACGAAATATGACACATGGCTGAGTTTTCCAACACATACCATTGAAATTCTTAATAAAAAAAATTCTTTTTTGTTCTTGGAACATCCCCATTGGGACGTCTCAAAGATCATGGACTGACATTGATTCTGACCATTCCCTCTTAGGTTAAGGGGAGAGGTGCTGTCTGGGAGGATGGCTCTCCTGAAGTTGAGCATAATAATAAGTGCGCCTTTCTTTCAACACTGAATTTGTTTAACAAAGATCTCGCAAATTATGTGAACGTTATCATCAATTTTGATTTGTATTTTCTTTCAGCTTAGTCTTTTTTTTTTTTTTTTTTAAGAGCAATCCCCCCCAAGCATAGCGAGAGTGCCACTAGCAAGCAAGGGGTCAAAGAGGATTGCGAACAAGAGTAGAGGCGTGTTTGAGGAAAGGAAAGAGAGAAGGACGGGGTACAAGATCAATGTCAGATGTCGATTGACATTACATTTGAATATTTGAAGAATATAGTCATCCGGGAAGCAAGTAAGGGGAAAGGAGTCCCACAGACGGGAAGTGCGAGAGAAGAAGCTGTCTGGAGGAGAAGAGACGGTTACATTTAACCGTTTTGACAGTGAAAGGGTGGGACCGAGATGTCAGCCTGGTAGATCTGTCTGGGAACCAGCGTAAGTATCTCTTTTCGGTTCTTTTTGTCGCAACTTTCCTCAGGACATCAATATCAGAGAGCACAAGATCCAATGGATAATCTCCCAGTTAGATTCGAACTCATGTGTTTTTTGTCTCAAGTTAGCCTGGTGGTTAACCAGATATTTTAACCGTTAATTACTAAATTGCCGATAAATATAATAATTTAAGATGGTTAAAAATTAAAAACGATTAATGTAAGGATCGAACTCACTAGTAATAGTGAGCCAAATTAGATCGCTAATCATTAACACACCCCTAGAAACTCAAAGAATTAAACCGAGTTAGTTTCAACTACAAGTTTTGAAGTTCTTTTTCGAAAATATATTTTTAATTTAGGTCTGAACAATTTATATCAAGAAATCTTAAAAGAAAATAAAAATATGTCAGATTGACTGAATCTATGCAAATGATGATTTCATGTATTTTAGCGTTTTCCCTCCCCTAGCAGAACGATGCAGTCAAACACGAGTTACAAATTTCCATTTATAGCATATACACAACTATAAGCCATGACAGTAATTAAATTTTGAACCCCTATCCCCTCCTACATAAAAAACGAAAAATGACCCCCCCAAAAAAACGCCCACAAAAACAATGATTAAAAGGAAGAATAAAAACTTGTCCAGGTATTTACTGCCAACACTGTATAAATGCCATGGTGGAATCGAAATACAGTACAACATCAGTTCTCGAACGTCTCACGTGTCGAAGAAATTGGTTTTCGAACAGAAAACTCTAGATGAAAATGCCTCGGTTCTCGAACAAAATTTCGGTTCTCGAACAACATTGCCAAACTGAGTTAACCCGAACGGAATAATTTCTTAGTCGGCCGCCGTGTTGTTTACATTCATGTGTTGTGCCGTGCTTTTCTTTTCCAATTTTATTGAATTGTGACTTTTTTCTCTACATTTATTCCTATTGGAAAAATATTTTCGGTTTACGAACATTTCGGGTTACGAACGGCCTTCAGGAACGAATTAAATTCGTGAACCGAGGTTCCATTGTATTTGAATACCTGACTAGATTTTCTCATTTTTGTTGAACAATGTCAAGATGAAAGCATCTCTTTTACCTGTGTACTGGTGATTCGCTGTCGATAAAAGTTTGAAAAACGAGAAGATACGCGGAAATTAGTTCAAACTAGCCAAGATGGAAGAACAATTTAAATTAAACATTTCCGCCATGACCTACTTCTTCGACAATGGCGACCAATAAAATTGAAACGACACAATTATCTCTTTGAAATCTTTTCAGGCAAATTCTCTGAGAATTTGGTATTGAGCATAGATACTTGTCATGCGTTGGTGGGGGTGTTAGAGATGGTGAAAGGGAGGAAAAGGAAATATGAGTGGGTGAAGAAAAAAGAATACGGGGGAGTGGAAAATCGTCGGGTTGGTGTTTGGGCGAACGGATGAAGAAAATTATAAATATAGGAAGAAAGAATGGACAATTGACCAAAAAATGAAGCAAAATAGAGACGAACATATAGAAAATGAAGATTAGATTGAGCGATTGATGTGGTTGAAAGTAAGAATAATTGGAGAAGGCATGGTAGAAGGCCGTAAAGGATAGACGGGTAAGTAAGTACGTAAAAGTAAAGATGAAACTAGAATTACTGGTAAGTAAAAGTGGGAAATGAGAGGAAATACAAAGATAAGTAAAGGAAAAGAAAGTCTGTTTGAAATGTAGAGATAAAAGAAAGACGTAAGAAAAATGAAAAAAAAAACAACAAAAAACAAACTAAGGACCGAAAGAAATAGAGACCAAGCAAGAAAGAAAGAGAATGAATTAAAAGAAAAAGAAAGTGAAGCATTGAATGAGACGAATAGAAAAAAAAGAAAGAGTAAAGAAGAGGAACAGATAGGGAAAGAAAAAGAAGAAATAATATAAAATAATGGGAAAAAAAAGAGAAAATATTACAAGATAATAGCGAGAAAGAAAAATAAAAAATAAATAAATCGAATGAAAGCGAGAAAATGACATGGACAGAAAGAAAGGAGTAAGTTTAAATAAAGAAAGAAAAAAAAGAAAGCGAAAGAAGAAATGGGGAAAAAAGAAAAAATTAAATAAAGAAAAAAATAAGGAAAGGAAAAGATAAGGAAGCTGACATGAGAGGGGAAAATAAAAAGAAAGAAAAAATATCTATACAGAAAGAAAAAGGAAAGAAAAGGAAACCTAAAACGAACATTGGCTAGCTTAAAACTGAGCACTTGAATTATTTGCATTTTACTTGTGTTCGAACACTGATTAAAAAGGCTAGAGGGAAATATACAACTCTCTCAACCATATATATATATAATCGACTCTTCCGTCGCGTTCGACGTATGAGGGTCAGGCCGATAAGTCCCCAGGAAACCGACATCCCGACACCGGCACATGAGATTTGATTATAGTGGGGAAGGCCTCGTGCAGGACCAGCCACACTTTTTGGAGGGACGAATACAGAAACCTGGTACACCGAATACATGCCACAAGGTTCCCAAACGACCCTCCGCAGGTTTTGAATTCAGAGTTGTCCTTCTCCTAGACCAGTTGCCATCCAAGGCTATAGAACCCAGTCTGTCCTGCTATTTTACCCATAGCTGGAGGGAGATGAAGAGGATACATACCTTTCCCAAGGGTATTAGCACGTAAGTGAATGTAATGGATTCGACTGGAATATATAATGGGGGAAAAAAACGAAAGCACAAGAAACCTCCGAACAGGGTGAAAGAAATTGTCCAATACCTTAAATCTCTGGTACGAAGAAAAAAAAAAAGAAGCGAGCAATAAGTTAAAACGAAGAGTGCTCAATACACTAAGTAGAGCAAAAGTAAAATAAATAAATCCTAATGAGCCAGATACTATCTACCTGTTTCCACCATATGCGATCATCAGCCAGTTCACTCTGATGATCCCACCTGGTGAAACCTGGGGAGGTAGTACCTGGCTCATTAGGATTTATTATATATATATATATATATGTGTGTGTGTGTGAGAGAGAGAGAGAGAGATACACAAATACAGATAAATATGAAAAGACTGAAATAGAAAGATAAATATGTACAGAAGATAGTTAATGAACAGGCAAGGACAGATAAAAAGAGTAATGAATGAAAAGGCAAAGAAATGAACGAAAATCGAATTGAAGGAGGAATAAAGGAAGAGACGTGAAATCATGACACATCGAAGGAAACGCGTGAAAAAAAGAAAGAAAACAAAAAAAAGTGAACAAAATAAAATATAACGAAACAAGATACAAATAAGAAGAAAGAAAAAAAATACCAATGCATAACTGACAAAGGATTTCGCAGCCATTTTTAATTCTATTGTCCAGGGCGGTAATTGCCTACTCTTGTATTTGCCTTATTTCTTCTCTTATTTTTCTAAAACAATTAATTCAAGAAAATAGAAAAAGATAGTTAAAAAGTCAAAAAAATTAAAAACAAAACAAAACAAGAAACAAAGATAGAAAGTAAATAAGAAGGAGGAGGAGAAAATGAAGCAGAAAAATATTGTAAAGCGCTGGAAAGAAAAGTTGATTGATTGAATTATTTTTTAATGGTTTATCAACCTTTTGCATGTTATTTAAATCCGAAAATATTTTTAAATTGTAAGATTTAACAGAGGACGGAAAGTGCAACATTGAAATCCAAAAGGGCATTGCGAAAGCGAAAGATGATTTCCAAAAGCTAAGTAAAGTATTAAGAAAGAGAAAAACAAAGAAAACAGTACTAAATTATTACGTAATATCAGTCCTCCTATACAGCAGTGAATGCTGGACAATTTCCTCACAGATGAAGAAGAGACTTGAAGCAACAGAAATGTGGTTCTACAGAAGGACGCTTAGAATGCCATGGACTGAACATGTGAGCAATAATGAAGTTTTAGAGAAAATAGAAACAAAAAAAGACATTTAACACCAGGAAGAAGTTATTTGCACTCATTTTCTTCTGGTTTCTTTGAGAGAGCTATAAATATTGATTTAGTGAGGTTTCTGGTATTTCACTGCTGTCGTTTATTTTGTTGCTCACTTTGTTTATTAATCTCTAAATCCTCTAAGACTATCAGCATTTTTGTTATAAATTTTGTCTGGTTTTGCTACTTTGTCATATATTTAAGAGCTACAAAGGATAGGAAATTGGGGAGATCAATAATCAATAATATCCTGAAGGGTCATGGGACATAGAAGAATTAATTTTGTTTTTTTATGGCTCATCAACCTTTTATGTTATTTAAAGCTGAAACATATTTTTTTAGAATGTAAGAATAATTATTCATTTCTTTTTGCGAGCGAATATTGTATTAACAGTTTTTTTTTTTTTTTTTTGGATATAATAATGATTTTCAGATACAAGTCTTACCATTTAACCCATAGCTAGGAGGAGATGAGGTGAATTTATAATTTTCGCAAGGGTATCTGTGCAATAATAACGTTGGGATGGAATGTGGACGTTTCTAAGTATATAAGGATGGATGGAGAAATGATTTTAGGCAACATGAGTTTGGCGACGAGAAAGCAGTACCTGGTCATGCGAACGTTGAAGATTGTATGGCGTGTCGGCCATATTGTGCCAAAGAGACAATGCAACGTGTACAGCAGGATGAGTATAAAAAAAAAATAAAAGAAAAAAACGAAAAGGGATAAAAAAAATAGTAAAAGAATGTCAAGGGAAGATTAAAAAAGAAGGGAATACAATCAGAGAAAAGGAAAAAGTAAGAATAAAAATCAAATAAAGAGTTACGACAAGAAAGAAGAAGGAAAACAAAGAAGAATCAAACGAAATGAGAGAAACAGAGAGAGAGAGAGAGAGAGAGAGAGAGAGGGAGGGAGAGGGAAAAGAGAGGGAGGGAAAGAGAGAGATGGAAAGAGAGAGAGAGGGAGAGAAAGTGAGAGGGGAAGAGAGAGAGGGAGAGAGAAAGAGAGAGAGAGAGAGGAAACTGTAAAAAAGAAATAAAATAAATAGGATTAGGTCAATGAATTAAAAAACGTGTAGAAGGAAGAAGAGAGAGAGAGAAGGAGAGGGAGGTAGGGAGAAGGGAAAAGAGAGGGAAAGAGAGAGAGAGAGAGAGGGGGAGAGAAAGGGAGAGGGGAAGAAAGAGAGTGAGAGGGGAAGAGAGTGAGAGAGAGGAAACTGTAAAAAAGAATAAAATAAATAGGACCAGGTCAATGAATTAAAAAACGTGTAGAAGGAAGGAGAGAGGGAGGGAGGGATGGAGATGGGAAAAGAGAGGGAGAAGGAAAGAGAGAGAGAGAGAGGGGGAGAGAAAGGGAGAGGGGAAGAGAGAGAGTGAGAAGGAAAGAGAGTGAGAGAGAGGAAACTGTAAAAAAGAATAAAATAAATAGGACTGGGACAATGAATTAAAAAACGTGTAGAAGGAAGAAGAGAGAGAGAGAGAGAGAGGAAGAGAGAGAGAGAGAGAGAGAAATAGTGAAAAAGAGAAAAGAGAAACAAATAAAATAAAAAATAACAAAACAAGTTTAAAAAGCCACTGAGAAAAGAAGAAAGAAAGACAGAAATGAAAAAGAAAGAAAGGAAAAATAAAGAGGATTGCGTAAAGATGCGAAGGAATTTTTAAACGAAAGAAAGTTTGAGAAAATATTCTGAAAAGAAAATCTGTAGAAAGGAAACGTGTTTAGAAATAATGAACAAAAGTGAGGGAGTAGAGATGAAGGAAGAGAAAAGGAGAGTGGGAAGAAGAGATAGGGAGAGAGAAATGAGATGAGAGAGAATTAACAAGGGAAAGGAAGGCGAAGGGGGGGAATTAAAAAGTGTGAACCTGAAAAAACGATTTCGGTAAAATGGAGAAGAGAAGAAAAGAAAGAGGAAAAAGGTAAGATGACGTCAATAATAATAAAGATCAAATTCTAATGAAAGAGAAAAGCATGAGAAAATAAGCAAGAAAGAAAAATGAGAGAGAAAGAGAGAAAAAGAGGGAGAGTGTGTGAGAGTGTGTATGTGTATGTGAGTGTGAGAGAGAGATTGAGAGGGGTAGAGAGAGAGAGAAGGACATGAGTAATAAAGAACAAAATCTAATGAAAGAGAAAAGGATGCGAAAATAAGAAAGAAAGTAAATAAAAGAAGAGAAAGAGAGAAGGGGGAGAGAGGGAGAGTGTGTGTGTGTGTGTGAGAGAGATATATAGAAAGTGCGTGTGAGAAAGAGAGAGAGGGAGAGAGAGGAAGAGAGAGAGAGGAGGAGAAGGACATGAGTAATAAAAATAGAATCCTAAAATCATTAAAATGCCCGAACAATGAAGTTGTATTTTTTTTTTTAGGTGAGGATTGTAGATAATGGCGGTGGGGTTGGTGAAAAGAATTTGCAAATGAAAAAGGGGAAAAATGAATTTGGTAGAATAGACAAAGCGACTAAATAAAAATTATAAATAAAATTTAAATGCCAGCTATACTGTACTAAAGAAAAATGTGATGAAAGAAAAAAAATGATGAAAACGAGAGATACACACAAGAGAACAAAGGAAATTTAAACTGAATGAAAAAGAATAAGAAGAAAAAGAAGGAAATGAAAAAAGTGATTGGAAAAAAAAGTAAAAAAAAAACGAAAAAAACCACAAAGAATAGATGACGTGTATTTAAAAAAAATGAAATAAATTATGAACTGGGAGATTTATAATAAAGAACGGATTTAAATAGGAACAGAATTGGGGGAAAATGAAGAGAAATAATAACTGAAAGAACGAGAGAATCGTTCTGAGATTAAAAAGATGGATTAACCTCCCCCCCCCAAAAAAAAACAAAAAGACGCAATGAGAAAAAAGAAAGAAATAATCTTCTGAAAGTTGAGAAAGAAAGAAAGCAAATAAATCAAAACAGTAGACAGAAATAAAAGAAAAAAGGGAAGCAAACAAGAAATGAAGGCATAAAGAAAGAAGAAAAAAGAAAAGCGAAGAAAGAAAGAAAAATTCAAATAGAAAAAGAAAGGAAAGAAAAAGTGACGGAATAAGAGAAAAAAACGAATCGTGAGAGCAGGGAAGTTGTGGAAAGAGAAATGGAACGACAAAGAAATAAGTACTACAAATAAAAGAAAGAGAGGATGATAAAATGTAATGAAAGAACAAGTAAAAGTAAAAAAAAAAAAAGTAAGAAAAATAAAAAAAGACAAGAAAAAAGAAAGAAAGAACTTGAACGGTAAAAAAGAAGAAGAAAAGAAATCTGGCTAATCTCTTTGTTACGGTCCGAAAATTGAATTTGTTCTTTTAACTTGTGTTCCGGCAAGGTGCCAAATTTGTTTCGTTGGTTCGGGCGTTCTGCAAACATAACGTCTTCTCTTCGACTCTGCCTCAAGGTCCGCCAATTATTAAACATAATTTCGCGCGAGGTGACGAATTCGGCTACTCCATTTGATTATTTCTTTTTCTTTTTTCTTTCAACTTTCCTTCTGCCCCACTACTCCTATAGCTCCACTACTCTTCCTCCTCCTCCTCCTCCTCCTATTGATATGGTTACACTTCGCCTCATTATTGATAATTATATGATCATCATCGTCGGTGCATTTGTCATCTTCGTTATTATCATGATCTTTTTGTTGAACATTATAATTCTATTATTATTCTTTATTATTCTGGTTGATTACGACCGTAATTACAAACAAAGGGAAAAAAAGAAAAAGAAAAAAGAAGTATTATCATCATCACTATTATTACCAATAGATAAATAGTAATAATAATAATAATAATAATAATAATAATGATATTTAAAATTCGTTCCAATACTGAGTAGCGGGTGCTGGATTTGCCGACACTTGCTCTTCAACTATTCAGTGTGTATGATTCCCCTTTAGGATGTGGACGATCATGGCTCTCCACAATTTCCTGTCTTTTTTTCTCTCTATGTAATCAAACATGCTATTAGATTGGCATCTAGATCCCACCCGTTTACTCTTGAAATAGCTAAATTCAGCCGCCATTTCTACCTGAACAGTTTCTTTTCTCGCACTTCGTGCCTGTGGAACTCCCTTCCGTTTATTTACTTCCCTGATAACTACAATCTTCAAAAATTTCAATGCAACGTCAATCGCCATCTTCTACAATTTTGTTCATCTTTTATCCTTTTCTCAATCCTACCCGTAGTCAGTCTTTTCTCTCACTTTCACTCCATGTAACCTCCTGCGTACTAGTGACATTCCCGCCTCGCCTGGGGTGAAATGATTAAAAAAAATGATCTTGTATGACACTTCTGTTTTTTTCCCCCGTTCATTTATACAAAAATTTTAAGTAAGTCACTCAGTGCTTTCCTCTTGTTCTTTTGCCCTTGATATATCTAGTGAGTTTTCTTTCTTTAATGTCATGAAAATATCTTACTGATTGTTAGTAACAGCTTCATTGTAGCTTTTATTCTCTTTAAAACCGTCATCTTTACGTGTCATGTCCATGGTATTCTCAACGTTCGTCTATAGAAGTATGGCTCGTGAGGAAATTACCCAGCATTCTTTGAAAGATAGACGATTAGTTTTTATACTTTAGCATTTTGCTTAGTTTCTGAAAAGTACCTTTCTCTATTCCTATGTACCTACATTTTATATGTCACACTTTCTGTCATCTGTTACTATCCCGATACATAATTTTCAATATCTGTTGGATTTTTAACACCTACAGAGGCAACTCAAACTCTGGGTCATCTATTTTGCTGACAGCCATATATTCCGTCTTTTTATCGTTAATCGTTCGTCCTTTCTTCTTGCTCTCTTCGACTTCCTTGTGTAAAAGTTCTTTCAGGTTTCCTTTTCGATCTATCCTCAACACAATATCACCTAGTGGGTTAATTTAATGACAAAATAGAAATAAAATCATATGTAACGTGTTTCGTACTTTAAAATAATTTAATCAAACTAAAATAATGTTTTTATTGATGGAATTATATGTATATAGGCAGAAGGACGAAAACATGAAAAGTATCTGAGCCGTTGTTATGGTAACGGAGCTAACGTACGCAGAGTGAAGCCGCTTCGCACTGAGTGACCTTGGCTTCTGTTGCGCATGCGCAATAAGTTATAACATTCTCGCTCACATCCGTTTTTTATAGCGGTAATTGAAAAGAAAGTGTGTAGTGTGTGATCGTTTCTCCACACCACAGAGTTTCCATCAGTGGCCATGGTTTGTGTAGCAATATTCCCCAGGTCCGACAACCATCATATTCCCCAGATCTCGTTGTGACTTTTTCCTCCTTAAAAAAAAAAATCAAATCCCAGTTCAAAAAAACAACATTTCAAGTCGTCGAGGAAATCCAAGAGTTCGACGAGGCTGCTACTCGTTATCCAGTTCCAAGAATGGGTCCATCAATGGAAATGACACTGGATAAAGTGTGTGGTTTCAGAAAGGGATTACTTCGAAAGAGATTAAAAGTCGAATTGGTATGTGCTGTAGTTTTTGTTTTTATGGCACCAGTCCCGATATTTTTTGATCTGACCTCGTATTAACAAAACGTCGGTCCTAATTATGCATCGTGGGTAAAGCTGAAGATATATGGACGGTAAACTTTAAATGTATACTTTAAATTTCTGGTGTCTGATGTGTCTAGACGTACAGCTTAGCTGCTTTCATTCAGTTTCCTAAGGCTTCTGTTTTTATTGCTGTTGTTTTTCAGTATCCATTAGTTTGAGTTACAAAATTTATATATAATATTCTTCCACAGTGTCATCTACCTAGCATGTGTTGTTCAGATTATGTCTGCCAATAATACATTCTCGTAGATCTTTTAACACTGTCAAGATATTCTCGCTGTCCTGGTTAAATAAATCCGGCGATGAAACGCATCCTTGCATTCCACTTTCTATTTTCGTGAATTCATTTTTTCTATCCTCATATAGGGCTGAATAAACGGTCACGGATTATTTGAATCTGCCGTGTAGCTTAAACTTTTCCTAACATTTTAAGTTCTTCATGTCGACTTTTATATATATATATATATATATATATATATATATATATATATATATATATATATAGACCGTTCTACACTCGCATTGCTCTCTCTGGTAGTATTCTGATCATGAAAATTGCCTTTCTTGTTCCAGTGTTTTGAAGAAATTCACATTAATCTTACCCTATTTCCACTCTAATTTTTCAACCATCCCCAATCATTAGTTTATGCCGTTTCAGTCCTTCTATATGACCGTGAATACTAGACAATCTCCACACGCCCGAAGAAAAGACTTAAAGAAACAGAAGTGTTTGGAAATTTGGGTTTTCACAGGACAGATTGAAGGCAAGAGGGACAGAGGAAAAGAAAACGCATGACCCACCTAGCGGGCTTGATTAAATGGATGACGGAAAAAGGTTTAGGAGAGATAATACATAAGAATTTATTGAAAGTTACAAAGGACAGGAAATTGTGGAGATCCATGATCACCAATGTCATGAAGGGATACGGTATCCCTATACGGTATAAAGAAGAAGAAGAAGAAGAAGAAGAAGAAATTATTTGTTTTTTTTTTTTCAAACTGAGTGTTCAGTGGAGTTGGCACTCATTTTCTTCCAGATTCTTTGACAGCGCTACAAATATTGAACTAATGAGATTTCTGGTATTTCACCGCTGTCATTTATTTCATTGACCAATTATCAATCTCCAGATCATCTAAGAATCAACGTTTCTATTATAATTTTGTTTGGTTTCGCTGATTTGTTTCCATTCATCTTGGCCAATGCTCATCTAACCTCAAACTTTAATATGACAGGCCCTCCATGTTCTTATGTAATGCAGATTTTTTTTCTTTCTCTGTTGCCATGAAATAATTACCTTATGTATTGATTCCATCTTTGTAGTATCTTTTGTTTTTCCATAACGATTGTTCTCTCTTTAGATTTTATACTGTCTGTCGAAGAGCAAGTTTTATATCCTGTTATTTTTTTATCTTTTTATAGATTATACCACTATTATTTACATTATTTACACTCGAACTATTGTTCTCTTCTTTGTTCTTAATAATAAAAAAAATTCGGCCGTTCTGCTCTCCGGCCGGAGTCAAGTGTTTGCTGAACCTTTAGAAAATTTAAAACTGAAACCTTCATTTAATGTACGGGGATAAATTGTTTTAGTTCCGCTGATTATGACAGGAGATCTTGTTATTATTCAGTACTTCTAAGTTATGGCTCACCCTGTTTCACCTGGGTCTAAGTCTGTACTACCCGACCCAGAGATTGAACTCATAATTACTATCTCACCAATTCACCGTTTCGGCTGAAGGACATAACGGGACACCAGCATCAACAACAAGGATAAGGATAATAGTCCTTGTGTAAATAATGCAAATAATGATAACTTCTCGTTCCTGAATATCAAGAAAAATTATTTTTTTACAGTAAAGTTCACCCTGTACAAGTTCCGCGAGCCCCTCGAGGTAGAAGGTTACATTAAGGGGCAGCTTATATGGATAGGAGGGGAAGATATCGTTTAAATCTAGAGTTGAACAGATTGTAGTGATCGGGGAAACATCCCCTTTGGAGTCTGTTCCACAGAGCAATGGTTCGCGGGAAGAAGCTTACTTCTCACCGATGGAATACAATGTGAGTAGCATGGCCGGTCGTAGTTCGTCTGAGGACTTTTCATGGAAGTAGCGATAAAGCAGTGAGAGATTCACCACATCCCACCTGTGAGAGACGAATTGGGGGGTGGAAAGTAATTAGCCACCCACAAGGACTCGGAGACACTTTTGAACTCTATCAAGACTGGAAAGTGAGGACTGGGCAACTCCCGCCCAAATATGGCAACAGTACTCCATTTTCGGTCGGATTTGGATTTTGTAACGAAAGAGGATAGTATACAGCAATTATTTAATCATTTCAAAAGCGTAGAATATAGTTTCGCTGAACTACAACTTTCATTTATGTTACATGAGCGACATTGATATTTTTACAATGACAAATCACAAGGCAAAATAGAAAAGACTGTGACATAATGGACAAAGATGTTACTGGATACACCGTGTGAATGATATCCAATGAAAATACTGAGTTGTCAGATTAATTCGTTCGTTGTTTTTTTTACATTTATTATTCATTAACAATTTAAATAAATCAATAATTGAGGACCCATGGCACAGTGGATAAAGGCGTCGGTTAGATCCAGTGACAGGACCCAAAGAGTGTGAGTTCAATGCCCGGTTAAGGCAGTGGAGAACTTTCAGAGGGAAATTAGCAGGAGATAACTGACATCTATCAAACATGGCACGTGGAACTAGAACAGTCTACCCCAGTGAGCGAAATAAAGGGTTCAGTTCGAAACTCCAACCACCTGAAGAAGGCCGGAGCGTACAACGGCCGAAACGTTGTGATAAATATGGCGACAAAGATGAGGACAATAGTGTGAAT